GGGCTGTCAAAGGACCTAAGAGATGGATTTGGTTCTTCAGTGGTCAGTGGGAGGGTGTCTGTAAAGATGTCAATCTTAAGGAGGGGGAGCATGGAGGAAAAACTGAGGTATGCCAAATAACACAAGAACTGGACTGAAAAATCTGTGACGACAGTGATGTGATTAATTAATATTCAATTGTCGGTTCAAACTGCCATCAGTGTGTTCAAAAAAAAGCAAGAGGTAAAATAGAGAGCCATCTTTAAAACACAGTGGAGGTTCTATCATGGTTGGATTGCCTCTGATTCAATTATAATAAAGAAAAATACTGACAGATTTTGATCTAGCATGGCGAGGAAGCATCTGATTGATGCCTCATTTTTCAGCACAGGAGTGATTCCAAACACACTGCCAATGCAGGAAATGCATACCTGGACAGAAAGAACACACACACAATGAAACATGGTCAGTCATGGATTGGCCTCTCCAGAGCCCAGCCTCAACATTTTTAAAGCAATGTGGGATGGCAGAATTGACAGACTGAGGGAAAACAGAACAATGAAACAAACACCCAAAGACAAACTTTGAATGTCCTTCAACAAGCCAGGAGAACTAGTGTCGAAGGCTACTTACAGAAGTTACAAGAAAGTTTCCATAAGAGAATTCAGGTTGTGTTGAAGAATAAAGGTTGTCATACTAATATTTGCTTTGATGCTCTTTAGAGTAGTAAAAACTCAGTTTTTGTCATATACAGCCTATTTCTGTGCATATTTAAAAAGTCGCTACCGTTTTTTTCTAATTTCTCTGCAAAATATAAAGAAAGGGGGGGGGGGTCAATACTTTTGCACAATACTGTAGATGCATGAGGTTGCTTTCTGCAAAAATTCACATCTTGCATTTTTGTTTTTCCTTGCTCAAGTTTGGGTCAGATTCAAATTTAAACCAAACATTTCATCTAAAATGCAAAGCTTGGACGTCATTAACTAGTGTGGTAACTTTTCAGTCGTTACCAATTTTGGAGTAACTGGTGTTCCGTTACTTACCTGTGCTGTAACGCCACCAACCCCAAAGTTAAGACCTGAGCCACCTCCAGCTGTGTGGGCCACTCTCCCGCAGCGACACACCCAAAGACTCCGCACTCCTCTCCAATACCCGACTCCTCGAACTCCATGGGCTCGCCTGTCGCCGATGCCTCTCGTATAAACTGCGGTCTAGTCTCGCGCCTAGTTGTCTGTGAGCAATTACCGTGCGCGCGCGTGTTTGTATGAGCGCTTGCCTGATACACGTTCGTGACGAAACACGTGCTTGCAGCGATACAACGTGGTTTGTTAAAACATACCAAACTCAGCTGACACTGCTGAATTGGGCATGAAATCACGAGTAACAGAGTTAAATCAGACTAGACACGTTTTAACCTAACAACCGGTCCGCCATAACTAAAATCATAACGAATTAAATGAAATACGTGGAATTTTACGAATAATTCTAATCAAATTAATCGATTAGGTCAAAAACCACACTATTTAGTCCTGTTGGAGCTTTTGATAAGACAACCTTCTCATCAAAGAGTAAAAGGATGAACTTTGGTAGAAAAACCTCCAAAAGTTTTTTTCTTTTTCTTTTTTTTACGTCTTGTCTTGACGTTTGAGCGCTTCCCTTTCACGTGGTAACAGATGCGCCGCTGTGATTGGTTGTTTAGATGAGTTGAGAACTGTGATTGGCTCCCGGCGCAAGTATGACACGGCCCACTTCCCCTCCCCGGCTGCCTGCACACCTTCTGCTTCTCAATAAGTTAACTGGCGTGTTTTGTGATTTGTCTTTCAGGACTTTTCAGGATCGACGAGCGCTATGGCATCCACCCCAGGTACTGCACGATCCTTAATACACACGTTAGCGCTTAAGTTAGATGTGCGTGTTTTAACTTTTCCCTCTTTTTTTTCAGAGTTGAAAGTCGGCCAAAAGCTCAATGAGGGCAAGACAAAACAGATTTTCGAGCTCTTGGACCAGCCGGGACTGGTTCTAGTCCAGTCTAAAGACCAGATCACGGCTGGGAATGCCGTGAGGAAAGATCAGATGGAGGGCAAAGCTGCCATTGCCAACAAAACTACGAGCTGCGTGTTCCAGCTGCTGCAGGAGTCTGGTGAGGACTTATTGAATGTTTGTAGGGGGGAACAGTATTCTGCAGTCTGAGTGGGTTGGGGCAGTTCTGTCAAACGCATGTGTATAATTATTGCAGCTCTCTTTTTTTCCCATTAAAAAAAAAAAGTCCCTTACACTTGGCCAGTATCTAGGCACATTGTTTCTGCAGAAGTTTTTGTGAGCAACAAACTATCAAAGGGAAATTGATTCACTAGAGTTTACTGGAAAAAAACAAACTTTGGACTCATTGATCTTTTCAGTTTCAGTTAATGTGGGGGCTTAAATGTTAAGAAAATATAAAACGTTTGTCACACTTTGTCAGAGCCCTGGCTCACTTATTCAGTTTGCAGGATTTTTCTGAAATGCCATTGGATTTATTTAAATATCTCAGAAGTACATGGTAATCAGTTTTCCACACATGGGAAGCAGTTCGGCTCTTCTCATTTTTGCAACTTTTTAAAAATGACTTATTTTTTTTAACCCTCTGAATGACAATCCACTAAGAACTGAATTTTATGTTGTGTTTCATGGATGGATGGATGGGTGGTGAATTGAACAGAAATGACAATCTTGCAAAAATACTTAAATGTGAAGGGCATGCAAGATTTACATGATCCCAAAATTACTTTCCATATGACTTTCATTTATACGCAATTGGCTAACTGTAACCATCTTGTGTGTGACGCGTAGGTCAGTCAAGCTGTAGTAATGGCTGCCTTGTGACTTGATGTGTTTCCACTTAGAATTAACCCGATCCAACCAGCCACATCCCATCCACTTGACCCTAATCAAAGATAGGTTTAAATCATGGTAACTTGAAGAGCCATCTGTGTGCCAGTGTATAAAAATTAAATAAAATCTATATTTTTCTAATCTGACATGGTTGCACATATTGAAATTTGTCCATTAGTTTGAGGTTGCCCTAACATCCACCCTCCCCCCCAGGCATTAAGACAGCTTTTGTTAAGCAGCACTCGGACACGGCGTTCATTGCAGCGCACTGTGAGATGATACCCATTGAGTGGGTATGTCGCAGAGTGGCGACTGGATCTTTCCTCAAGAGGAATCCAGGAGTCAAAGAGGGCTACCGCTTTTCTCCTCTAAAGATGGAGATGTTCTTTAAAGTGAGTCTTCCAGGCGTGCAGTGATTCTCTCGATGCATTTTCAGTCTGTGAGTGTTGCATGCAAACTCATCAATGATTGTTTTTAGGATGATGCCAACAATGATCCTCAGTGGTCAGAGGAGCAGCTGCTGGAGGCCAAATTCTGTCTGGCTGGGCTCACTATTGGTCAGTGTGAGGTGGACATAATGAATCGCAGCACTGTGGCCATTTTTGAGATTCTGGAGAAGGCCTGGGCCACTCAGAACTGCACCCTGGTGGACATGAAGGTAGGCTGTGCAGCACCTCCCCCTGCTGGTTAATTTCATATCTTGGTGCAATCACCTTTCTTCTGTACCTACAGCAGAACTACAACTAAGGACTTTTTTTCTTTGCTTATAGATTGAATTTGGTGTCAATGTGAAAACTCAAGAGATTGTGCTCGCTGACGTGATTGATAATGATTCATGGAGGCTTTGGCCAGCTGGAGATCGGAGCCAGCAGAAAGACAAACAGGTCATGCATTGACTTTCATTTCATGCTGATATGAGGGGAAAAAAAGATACAAGCCTTAAACGGGTTTTTTTTTTTCTTCCCCTTTGTAGGTGTACAGAGACCTGAAGGAGGTTACCCCAGAGGCAATGCAGATGGTGAAGAGGAATTTTGAGTGGGTCTCTGAAAGGGTCAAGGTACAGCAAACAAACTCTAAATTCTTCTTTATCTTGTAGGAGTATTTTGCTTTGAATATCTTAACCAACAGACATTGTTTAACATCACAAAAGCCTGCAGCTGCTTTTTATGTAATTCAGGAAAAAACGAGTACAATTTTTCTTTTGAGCAGTCAAAAACTGAAATAAACTGATGATTCAATGGTTTCTGTGCATCTACAGTTGCTGCTGAAGCCCCAGGCAAGCAGCAGGGTGGTGGTTTTAATGGGTTCCACCTCAGACATGGCCCATTGTGAGAAGATAAGAAAGGCGTGCACCTCCTACGGGATCCCCTGCGTCCTCAGAGTCACCTCGGCACACAAGGGTCCAGATGAGACTCTCCGAATCAAGGCTGAATATGAAGGTGTGCTTTAATATTGACATAATTCCATCTTTAAACTGATCTAGGGATTCTTGATAATGTGATAATTTCTCTATGCTTTTTTGCAGGTGATGGGATACCCACTGTATTCGTGGCTGTGGCTGGGAGAAGTAACGGCCTCGGCCCAGTGATGTCTGGTAACACGGCTTACCCTGTTATCAACTGCCCTCCTCTCACTCCAGACTGGGGATCGCAAGATGTATGGTCATCCCTCCGCATGCCAAGTGGTGAGAAGAGCTCTTTAGAATAGAATGCCTTTATTGTCACTGTACAGATGTACAATGAGATACAGATGATCTCCTACTCGGTGCAAACATGTTGGAGAAGGAGGGGGGGGTGCATCGTTTCTGCAGCAATATATACATGTGCAGTGTGAATCATACATACGGTTTTAATTTTTTCCCCCTTATGGTAACCAAGTCTTTCTCTACTTTATTTGTCCTGCAGGTCTTGGCTGCTCCACAATATTGTCTCCAGAAGCTTCTGCCCAGTTTGCAGCGCAGATCTTCGGGTTGAGTGACCACCTGGTGTGGTGCAAACTGAGGGCATCCATGCTCAACACCTGGGTGTCTCTCAAGCTGGCTGACAAGAAGTTACAGGCCTGCAGCCTCTGAAGAGCCCAGCGTGCTTCACACTTTAACACACTGTCTTTGTTTACTATTAAAACCCATTAAATGTAGTTGTTTGTCACACATATCATTCCATGAAGAGACAAATGATTAAAGCTTATATGTATTTCTGTGCATTTTCTTTCTTTAAGACTCATTTTTATGAGTTTATATACTCATATTCATAAATCCCATGATAGTTTGGAGGATTTCATGATTTCTTTGAACTTTTGTTTTTCCAAGGTTGTAATGAGTGCACTTCATATGTCCTTAATGATTTAAAAAAGGTGCAGAACTTTGAGATAATTACCCAGGTTCTAAATTATACATACTGGCTCACCTACATACATGCATACAGATATGAGTGAGTGTATGCATGTATTTTTAAAAAAAAAATGGAGTTGAAGGTTCTACGATGTCTTAAGCTGAAAATGCCAAGGCCTGTTAACTCCTTATTAGACCACTTCACATTATTGTCACTGTTTGGCTTTCAAGCGTAACACTGTACCAACTGTTGTGTGTGTCGGGGTGGTACTGTCATGCTCTCGGGCTGTTTTGTTGCCAGCAATACTGGCACATTGCACAAAAGCGATGGTATAATGGACTACCTCAAAATTCAACATCAGCTATATTTAACATCTATGGTTAAAACTTGGACCCAATTGGATGTTCCGACAGGGCAATGACCCCAAATACACATTAAAGCTGTTCAAATAATACATGAAGCAAGCCAATATTAAACTGGCGTAATGGCCTTCCCAAATCCCTGACCTCTCCTCTACTAAAAATGTGCGGACTACGCTTAAAGGCTGGGTTAGTGCCAGGAAATAAACTCTACCAATCCAGCCAATAAGAGTGGTCATATATCCCAACCAGAACTATGTAAGAAGCTTGTTGATGGCTACCAAAAGCCTGGTGAAAGTGCACCTTGCTAAGGGACATTAAATCAAACAGTGGTAGCCATGAAAATCTACATAAATTGAAAATTGTGTACCTAGTTCTTGTTTTAGATCTATGTTGTACAATCATTCAACCTTGTAAAATGAATAAATTACCAAGACATTTAATGTCATGGTATACATTTGGGAACAGTCAGATAACTTTAGGGCTATTTAAATCATTAATGTAGGGAGATGAGGAGGAGCAATTTTTACCTCAGTTTAAAACCACAAGAAAGACAGTTTTTCTGCAGATACTTTCCCAATGGTTTTATCACCATGAGCAGGATTTCATCTTAAGAGATACTGTGGAGTAGCTCTGCTAAATATGGATAATTTCAACAGAGGACAAGTTAAAAATAAGCAAAATGTTGGGCATGGTATAAAAGACTACTGTTGGCACAGGTGCAACATCTTCATCTGCTCCTTACAGAGTCGCTGCATCCTTTTTATACCTACAATATCAGTCTAAGCACTTAAAGCATCTGTACTTGTATTTATTTTTAAAAATCAAAAGGTTTCCCGTGTGAATCTGCATGTAGTAAATATGGCGATTTGTTGCATGGAGGCATGCAAGATAGCTGCTTTTCACCTAAGCTAAGTAGCTTGCAAGCAAGTCATGACCTGGGATGCAGAGCTTCTTTTCTATTACTAAACCTTCACCTTATGTTTGCGTCTCATTCTTATGCCTAACTTCATGTTCTACATGCTGCAGGACCTGAAATCAGCCACACGAGG